CGTAGGACAGTGAAGAAGTCGATATCCTCTCACAAAGTTCAAATGTCGCATCAAACTTCCCAGATAGAATATTATGTTTTTGTTTGTCGAAAAAGCTAAGTCTAGGTATCAGCTGGAGTCAAATGATTGTCTAGAGTGTTCATTGCAATTCATTTTGCATATGGAAGTATTTGGTCGAGAAAAAAGACGTGTAATGCGAAGTAATTGAAGCGAAGAAAGAAGAAGAAAGTAGTATTACACCTCTTTCCTTCCCCTTCCCTTCCCCAGTCGCTCTTCTGTCCCACCCAGGGTCGGTCCTATCGTTGGTACTTTTTGCAAAATTTTTACGACCCCCCTCCTTCACGAGAAGTTTCATACGACCCCCTCTTCACAACCACTTTTTCCCTCAAAAACACCGTCGAGCGGGGGGGGGGTATACGCACGCTGAAACGGCAAATTTTCTCCCGCGCGCTCTCACCTCATCACATGTAATTTCGCGCTACCGAAACAAGTACGACCCCCCAAACTTCAACAAACTACGACCCCCCGTTGTTACTTGTAGCAACGTAGGGTTGACCCTGGTCCTACCCTTTATGCACGTCGAGGTGTAAATCGACTAAATGGTTTTCGTGCAGTGTAGTGTCTCCACTTCATCTGCTTACATTACTTATTTCTTTGTTCTATTTATGTTTCTATTCCTTGTTGGAAATTTTCAATCTTCAGAAGACGCTACAATGGCCTTCGGTGGTGTGATCAGCACGTCCAACTTTATGGAGAATGACGTTTTGCATGTGCGAACATCAGCACCTCTGATTTTCACGATGGAACTTCAGGCTAATGCTCTTCTTTAATACCTCAGACAATCATTTCTTAGGAGCCCATTATCAGTACTAGGCTGTACACTTATGTGTTGGTACAGATGTTTGATTTGTGAACATAAGCAAGTTACATGCATTAGTACTCCATTGCCTAACTGAGATGTTGTTTTATCGAAAAATCGTTTCACTTTGAGTTCCGTTTTAACTGTTTAAATTGTCTCAAGCTTTAAAGTTACGACGACCCTCACTTCTTTTCTGCTTCCGATGTGACA